TTAACGAATACTGATTTTGTTAATAATGCCATTTGTCACATGTTTGTAGAAATCAGGTATGAGCTGAATGCTATAGAAATAGATAAATGTAAAAACATTGGTCTCACAACCGTTATGAAGAACTGGTTATCTCTCACTCCAAGTCAAACCTTGATTGCCGAAAATGCCGGATGGATAAATACCTTAAAACAAGAGGACCGTAAAATAACTAATGCGAATGGCGACTTTGACATTTTGATTCCTCCTGAGCTTCATACTTGGATTCGCTGAGGACTATCGCAAAGTGCTAATGAATATAAAACATGAATTAATTCTCGTAAAATCGAGTACTGATTTAAATACAGTTTATCAAACGAAGAAGACCGTGGCCGACGTTAAAACTTACGAAGAATTCAAGATTAATGTAACACGTCTCGAATGGCTTATGCTCTATGTGACTGCATCGAATACAAAGAAAATACGTCTACTAGACTTTCTAAAAAGCGAACGAAGTATTTTAATGAGTTTTCGTAGTTGGGAACTGTACGAATATCCAGCGTTGCATACAAACACAAATCACGTCTGGACAGTTAAAACGACAAATCAGTTGGAGAAATCACGCTACGTCATCTTATCCTTCTAAACCAATCGAAAAAATGAACCAAACTCTAACGCTAGTATATTTGATCATTGTAACATCAGAAATGTTAAACTGTACCTCAACTCTCAGTGCTATCCATACGGTAATCTCAACATTGATTTCAGTAAAAACCAGTACGCAATGTTGTACGATATGTATGCCAATTTTCAAAACGTATACTACGGTAAAGATGCCGAACCGATGCTCAAAATCTCGAATATAAAAATTACATGCCACTCGTAGTGATTGACTGTTCGAAACAAAACGAATCATTAAAGACTGCTCCAGTAGATGTGTGCTTGGAGTTCGAAACCAGAGAAATTATTCCCGAAGGAACTACAGCGTATTGTCTTATTGTACACGATCGCATCGTTCAGTATAATCCGATAAATGGAGATGTGAAGAAACTTATTTAGGAGAGGGGGGAAGGGTATTAAAGAATTGACTCTTTCCTCAAGCAGCTCAGTAGTAGCTTTCTATCGCAATGGAGTACGTAGTGGATATGCAAGGCTTCATGATGCCTGGCAAAACTTATGCTGTGAAAGAATTAGCGATACTTCCACTTAACTACAACGACGAACCGCTCGTATGCCTGTTCAAACCTCCCTTTCCATGGCGAAGACTAACGGAGAAATATAAGCGAGAAAATCTCTGGTTAGAACTCTACTATCATGGATTAACATGGAACTCTGGCGATTATAAATACGAAGAGCATAAATTCATCATCACAGATACACTCAAAGATGCCACAAAAATTTTCGTTTCCGGAGATTTGAAAAAAGAGTGATTAGAACGATATAGCCTGAAAGTTTTCGATTTGAATGATTAGGACTATTCACTATTCGAAAAATTAAAATCAGTTACCGTGTGCCCTAATCATAACGGCAAATACGTAACGACATGTGCCCTTCAAAACGTTAAATTAATGAAAAAGTTTTATATCGATGGCTGTTGTATGGATTGGGAAGAGAGCGATGAAGTCGTTGAAAGATTTCTATAGTGATTTTGTTTTTTAAGTAAATACTTTGTAGAATAATATGTATTTTTTAAGAACATGTAGAATAAGATATATTTTTTATCAATAAAAAATTTTTGTTTCAATTGATACAAAAAAAATATTCTTTTATTTTTTTATTAAACCATCCAACAAAAGCGAATTTCTTCGCTGACTCTGACGATGACAGCAGCAGCAGTTTATCTTTTTCATAATAAATTTTATATTTTTTTATCTACAAAAAAAATTTATACAACATAGATTTTGGATGAAAAAAATGTTTATTTATTAGTTGAGGTGGTGTACAATGATAACATGTATACATATGATTATTATTTCTTCTTTTCGTTATTCAACTGCTGATAGCCTTTTTGTTCAGGAAAATTTTTTGTATTGCTCGAAAATTTGGAAATACTTTGTTTCCATGTCGATGATTCTTTTGTTCTTCTTTTCGTCCGGGTCTTTCTGTATAAGACGAGAGTACTTTACTTTAGAGTAGCGATCCATTTTATTGGAATGCTGGTTCATGAATGATTCGATAATTCTTACACTGTGCTATTTATTGTAGCTTACAACCACGAAGTCTACAAATAAAAGAAAGTAAGCAGGTACTTGCACGTTTTTTTCTATAAAACCATCTTCGGTAGATGAGACACACATGTACGCACACACACGCGCGCACATTGAACATCAAAAAAATTATTATTATTCGTTATATACCAATTATAATAAATATTTATGTATAATATTTATTATAATTAGTATATTTATTAAAATTTATTATCATTTGGATGTATTAGCGCTTTGGTCCTTCCCAGCAGCAGCCGCTGGCGGCACCGCCGCCGCCGTCGCCGCCCCCCACATATCAATCGTGTAGCTAGTATACGCAATACCGTATTGCCCGTAGTAACAGTGGCTGTAGCTCTAGCGGTAGAGCATCGGCCTGCGGATCCGGAGGACGCGCGTTCGATCCCCCGATCCGTCCGTTTTTTTCCGATAAATTCAAAAATTTAACACACACACACACACAATAAAAAATCAATACGTGTAACACAGAATGCGCGCGCGCATCGAGAATACATCAGATCACGAGGAGAGAGAGAGAAGGAGAAGGAGGGAGGGGGAAGTGCAGAGAACGCACGTTGCGTCAGAACACATCAGCACACAGTGCATAGGAATCAAATCAGTAGGCTGGGAGAGGGGGAAGTGCAGAGGACGCGCGTCAGAGCACATTAGCATAGTATAGGAGAGGTGGGAGTGCGTAGAACGCACGCATAGTACAGTAGAGCAGGGGGGTGGGAGAACGCACGCCACATCAGATTAACTCAGTAGGGGAGGGGGGAACCTTCTGGCCGTTCTTTGCAAAAATGCACGCTGCATGTGGCTGTCACGGGAAAAACTAAAAGGAATAATCGACGTCAATGCATGAAATGTTACGGTATTCACGCCACTGCATCTTCTTTGTGATCTAACTTGCAAATTGTAAATAATTTTGGTAAGGCGGCGAAGCCTTGTCGAGTCGATTAGATTTTACACTGGTAGATGACGGCGTTGAAGCGTTTGCGTTGAAGCGTTTCACCGACATGTTTCTTTCACGATATTTCATTATAATTACAGAACCCAACCCATTATACTTTCGATACGTTGAGAATCGCGAAAAACGAGAAATATTTGTCAGTCTGATTGACGCCTGTGGACATATAGTCCGACACTCTTGCCTCTGCATGTTGCTTGAAAATGGAGTTAATTCAAACAATTTTTTTTTCACCGAATTAGTTTTGTATTCTTGAATTATCAAGTTCTGCAACAATATTATTATGAGTGAAAAACGCAAAAACATCCTCAAAATTGTTGCCTGCTCAAGCAAATATTTTTCAAGTAAAAAATTTTTTTCAAGTATAAAAATTTTTTAGTGAATAAACTTTATTCATGAAGCAGTAAGTACAATTCTCTGATTTCATATACTCAATAAATAGTTAATTTTTACCTTATTAATTAACATTATTTGGTCGATAAAATTCCTTCGGTCGGCATGGCAGAATTCAGCACTACTCTTATAGTTTGGTGTGCAACGTTACCACATAGCACAAGCATATTGGAATGGGTAGATAGAATCAATTTCCACTGACTGTACGTGAAATATACTTATTAAAATCCATTTGAAAAAATAGCTCAGACAGAAGATATTTAGACTAAAGCAAAAGTTCCCGAGTTCCAGCCACGTTCGGATTAATTTACTTTATTAAAATTTTGATAAATAAAAAAGTTATTAAAATAAATTAATTTTACAAAGCGACGATTTTGATAATTAGAATAACAAAAAATCTATTTGATTCCATTGGAAATCCACGTAAAATCCATATAAAATTCATTTGAATGCTAATGGACATCAAGCTAAATATCCACGCGGAAATACAGTCGGAATTTTCGGAAGGATTTTTTCAACCAGGCAGTTATTACAGGTACATGAATTGAATATTTTAAATAATCACTTTGTATACAGGCCCTTGCACTGCACCTATGCAAGTAAATTTAACAAATTTCTCTTATTTATGTCATATAGCACAAAATTATATTAGTAGATGACTTTTTTTTAATAATGACCGTTTTATTTGAATCTTTTTAATTTCTAAATAAAGTAAATCGACAAGATTTTAATAACAGAAAATTTCGTTTTGTATCTTCCGCCAGAAAGCTACAGAAGATATAAAGCTTTCTATAAGGTAATATTGGAATAAAAGTTCAAACATCCAATCCTTAGTTATTAAAAAAATTTTTTGTTATTTATTTATCTTCGATCAAATCTGTGTTAGATTTAATTTCAATACGCATTTAATTTTAATAAAAATATTAATCCAATACTCGTTATCAAAAAATAGATTCTGCGTTTATTTTCCAAATGTCAATAAATTATTAATAAAATTTGAAATAAACATACAGTATAGTTTTTTTGAAAAAAAAATCTCGAAGTTTATAGTTATTTTTGTCATTTATACCGAGGGTAACTTTCTCTTCGAAGAAATAATGTTCATTGAAATAGACTAGTTTCTAATTAATAACTTTAGGATTTTAATAAATGTAATATATTTATTGTTGCTTTGATTTTTACACACATATACGCACTCACACACACGTGAAGAAGCGATAAGTAATACATTCATATTTCTATCAAATAGTTTTAATATTATTTAGAGATAAACAATTATACGTTTATATTGATGCCAAACAATACCGCTTCAGTAACAGACATCTTAATTTTTACTCTTAGAAAAATTTTTTAAATAATAGATGAAATTTACAAACATAACAACTAACCGACACAATCAAAGTTTTAAATCTTGAATAGAAGTTATAATATTTATATTAGATTAATATTGAACATAGTACCTGTAATGCTAAGAAGAGACATAGTTTTGATGTATATTCAAGATAATTGATATGGATTGTTAATTAAGAATATAGATATTGCACAAATATATTCAATAAAAGCACAGCATCACACATTTCAATTAGTTAAAATCCGATACTATTATATTTGTTGAGATATTTCTATCACTCAAATAAAAATCCCTTAAATATTTGAGTTACAAATTTCACTTCATTCATTTTTTTCTTTTTTTGAATTTTGTTATAAAATCAACCATTCAATTGTTTTATCATTTAATTGAATTTTTAATCGAAACTAAAAACTTTCAATATTAGAATAAAGCTACCATATTCCGTACACAAATATATTTTATTATTCATTATCACTCCCGTTTCTTCCACATTTCAGTACTTATGTTTCTGTTTGTTTTTCTCTCTTTCTTTTTCATTTTTTCCCTTTATTACAATAGAAATGTTTGGTTTTTTTTCTCATTTTTCTTTTCATGTGTTTTGTTTTAAGCTAAAAGAACCATTTTTATTTTCATTTGACTCTCGCTATGTAACATGGCTTTCTACACAGTTACATAAGAATTAGCCGAAATTAAATTTTATTGTAACTGAGTATTTTAAATATCACTATTTACCTATAAATGTACGTAATAATTTTCTGACATGATGGAATGTCGACCACTACCGAAGAGCGCCGGCGCTAAACCGAGGATCAACGAAAATTTCCGAATTCTACCGAAAGGTAAATTTGTTTATCCTAATGTTCGAACATTCTAATAAACAATTTGTGTAAAACAAAAACTGTGATCCACTGCTTCTATTCTATTTTTTGAAGTTCTAAATTATTTGTTTTCTTAATTATATTTTTAAGAAGGAGGAGGAAGAAGGATGATGTCAAACATAATACTTATTTGATAAATACATAATTCAATACATTAGTCTATGAACAATCTAAAACTAAAAAAAATTATATTAATAATAATTATACATAGATATATTAAATGTAATATTTATTATTATAAAAAAACTGTCTTTTAAAAATTGGAAATAAAAAATTTTAATTGAATAATCACGTAAAACTAGAAAAATATATAATAATATATATGTGTATAATTAATTACTTATGTATAATTAATAAAAAATTAATACTACAATTAGAATAGTTATTTGCACGGTAATTAATTTGAAATACATTTAACAATGTACAAAAATAAATATAAATTTCAATAATTTTATCATAAATAATGCATTTATTTTTTATTGCAGTGTGAACCGTAAATGGATGCTTTATTTTTTCTTATTGCTGTGTGTTATATTCAAGAGTACGCTATAGTGAATGAAACGATCGATTATTATCGGTGAAGTTGTATTATTCTTTGCAATTTATATTCCACTACACATGCTTTTACCCACTTAAACTAAATATTAGAAGATGTTCAAAATTATACTTCTCGACAAAAAAAAGTCGCAGCTCGAAGAACTTAACAGGATTTGAAAGCTCGTTAAAACAGCTTTGAAATAAGTTCAGTCTGATGAATAACAAATTAAAAAATGAAATTTCTAGATACAAAAAACCAAAAACAAAATATTCATTTTTTTTACAGTCGCACATAATTCGATCCCATTTTAGTTTTGTATATCTTAAGTAAAAATTATCGGAATTGAAAGCTGAATAAATCCTCTTAAAACAATCCCTGACATTTTCCATACTATAATTTTTGCCATGACTATGAGTGTTTTTATAAAAAAATGTAATTTTTCAGTAGCGAAAATTTTAAAAACTAAGCATCCTATAAAAACAATCCTTGAGAAAAAATGTACAAAATATATAAAAATAATATTACAATGACAAGTTTTTGAGAAAAAATTTTTCTGTTTTTTAATCCAAATGGAAAAATTAATTTACTATAATACTTTTATATTATAATGTTTATAAGATGATATATCTTTAAATCAAAAGTTCCTTGAAAATTATTGCAATAGAAAAATTTAAATTGTTTAAATTCTGTGAATTTAGGCGTTGTGGACATGAAAACTATTTCTTGGGATATGAAAACAACATTTGTATTTTTTAAATTTTCTGAAATAAACTTTAATTACTTTAAATTCTTGTTCCCAAGCAGTAGTTAATTCATCGTCATTGTAAGTTTACGTATCCCAGATAACAAAACAAATTCTTTTCTAATCTAAAAAGTATTCATATTTATAAATACGAATTCACTGTCGTATATAGTTGGAAGAATTATTCTAAAATAATTCTTGTTATAATTATTTTCTGACCATTTACAAATTATTTTACAAAGATTTCAAAAGAATGCAATGAAATGCGCTCAAAACTTTGAAGACATTCTAAATTTTTAATGATTTTGTTCAAATCATTAAAAATATATTCATTTTCAATTTCAAATATCTTACGGGTCAATTCTTTCTATATATAGTTACGGCTCCAAATGATTGAATAATATATGTTACAATAGTATAATAGAATTGAGTATATAATCAACGACAAAAGTATTCATACGTAAAGAATTTTTTTTTTCAATTAAAGTACAACAGTAAACTAAAAGAATGCAGACATAATTTAAGTATTATTCATTTCAAATAACAAATTAACAGAAAAAGAATTGATCAATAAAATTATTTGTACAAACTTTCAGATTAAAACAATTACACTATTTCTTTCAACAAATATTGATTTTCTTTACTAAAAAAATATTACTATCAATAATTAGACACAAATTGGGAATCCACCTAGGGCATTTACAATATTATTTCAGACATTGTTCTAAAGATAAGAATTCTTAATCTTATGTAACAAATTACCTACTGACTTTATTGAAAAACTATGTTATTTAATCAATATAATTTAAACACTGTTAAAAATTTATATAATCGAGTTATAGAATTTGAATATTTTTCAACCTGCAAGTCATTTTTAAATGGATTGACTAACAATGAAAAATCAATAGTCAACGACCATACAAATATTTATGTTTGTATAAAGTGTGGAACACAGAAAATTTATAAAGTTGTGCCTTCTACTTCAAGTGTTCTTTTAAGTAGTATAGCAATGTACGAGGTGTGATCAAAAAGTAAGGTGGATTTTTATTTTTCTCAAAAAATATTTATTTATTCGGACGATTTAGATATAGACGATTGTATTAGATGGAGAAATCTAACAATTAATGCTATAATTTCAATTAATGAATTTATGAAACGATCTGATTTAAGTAGAGGAATTCGACAAAGATGTCAAACTTGTGATTGTCATTTGAATTCTATTGAAGTCAATTTAAGTAAAACTATAAAAGTTGGTGGAAGTATACATCCATTAACAGCTATTCAGGATGAAATTCCAGGAGATGGAGTTGTTTGGAGGCCAATTCATTCAGCCTTTGAAAATCGAATTAGTACAGTCTGTATAGTTAATCAACATCATTTAGATATAAAAACATTTCTAGTTGCCGCAAATCAACTGTTACAAATTAGAATACCTCAATTTCTTGCTATCCATAATAACTTAAAAATAAATACAGAAATGGCATCACAATTTATTATAAAGAAAAATCAAGAAGAAGATATTCAAATCAAGTATTTCAATACAGAAAATGTTTGCATTTATAAAACTACTGATCTTGATAGATGATTTCAAAATAACGTTAAAGATATTATACTTAAACAAATCGAAGAATTTCAAGAAAGAGACTCAGGCTGGTCGTTAAAAACTATTGTTGGTCTCACTATTAATATAAATAAGTATAATCCATTAAAACCATGCATATGTATACCATTACCGTCAAGCTTAAATAATAAAAGAGCCAGTGTTAATGTTAAAAATGAAAATAATGAATGTTTTAAATGGGCTATACGTTCATGCCTTCATCCAGTTGAAAAAAATCCAACCAGAGTAATTAAGTACAAGCCCTATGAGAATGAACTGAATTTTTACGGTATAAGCTTCACTGTAAAAGCAAAAAGTATATCTAAATTTGAAAAGTTGAATAATAGACGTGTAAATTTATATATACTTGAAAAATATGGATCGAAAGATGAAGTCTCACCGTGCTATACGTATAACGAAATTAAAACAAACTAAACATATGAACGTACTCTTAATACAAAACGATTATATTGATGAAAATGATACTAATTGACCTCGAATATCAGTGGATGATGAAAAATACAAATTAGAAACTCACTACGTATGGATTAAAAATTTATCTGCTCTTCTTCGTAGTTAAATTACTCAACATACTAAAAAATTTATCTTTGTGAACGTTGCCTTCATTATTTTACTAACGAGGAAAATTTGAAATCTCATGAAGTTGACTGTTCCAAAATAAATAAGTTTCGGATTAATTTACCTGACGATGCTACTTTAGAATTTAAAAATTTTAAGCATAAAGAGGAAGTTCCATTTATTATATACGCCGATTTTGAATGTCTGTTAAAACCTATAGAAGATCTGAATAGAAATCTCAATGTTAAGAGACATAGTTTCCAAGAACATAAAGCCTATAGCATTGGATTATATGTAAAATGCCGCTATGATGATAGTAAGTCGATATATAAGTCATATAAAAAAAAACTAAATGAAGATGAATCACCAGCATTGTGATTTATAAAGCAATTGAAGTCCCTAGTGATTGAGTTAGAAAAGATATATAATAATGCAATAAAAATGGATTTATCATTCATTAATAAACAGGCATTTATAATGGCAAGAAGATATCATATTTGCAACCAATATTTCCAAGAGAACCAAAAACGATTTCGAGATCATTGTCATTTAACAGGAAAATTTAGAGGTGCAGCTCACAATCATTGCAATTTGAATTATAAAAAATCTGCTTTCATACCAGTCGTATTTCATATCTTTACAGGCTATGACTCATATTTTATTATAACAGAAATTGCTACTAACTCAGAATTTGAAGGAAAAATCTCTGTTCTCGCTGAAAACAAGAAGCGATACATACCCTTCACAAAAGAAGTTGCAAGCAGTCGAATTAGCTTTCGTTTCATTCCTTTCGATTTATGCCTACATCTCCAGATAAATTAGCATATTATTTACCTCAGATAGATATTGTACAAAGAAAATTTCAGAAAGATAATTACACTTTAGAACAGATTAATTTACTTGAAAGAAAAGGAGTTTTCCCATATGAATACATCCAAAATTTAAATAGACTAACTAAGACAGAGTTACCATCTATTGAAAAATTTCATAGTTAATTGACAGATAGTGATATTCCTACTGTAGAATATAAGCATGCTCAAAACGTATGGAATATTTTCGGTAGTATTTGGAAGAAAATAGATTTAGGAATGTATTCTGATCTCTATCTGAAAACTGATGTACTTTTACTAGCTAATATTTTTGAAAATTTTCGATCAACCTGTAAGAATACATATGATCTCGATCCTGCTCATTATTACACTACCCCTGGATTAACATGGGACGCGAAGTTAAAATATACAAATATGAAGCTTGAACTATTAATAGATATAGATATGGTTTTATTCATTCAATAAGGTATTCTTGGCGGTAGTAGTCAATGCTGCAACAGATTTTCAAAAGCAAACAATAAATATATGGGTGAAGAATTCAATAAGGATGAGCCAAACAAAATTTTAATGTATTATGACGTA